CTCTTGACCTTGTGATCCACCCGCCTCGGCCTCCCAAAGTGCTGGGATTACAGGCTTGAGCCACCGCGCCCGGCCAATTTTTTGTATTTTCAGTACAGACGGGGTTTCACCATGTTGACCAGAATGGTCTCGATCTCTTGACCTCGTGATCCACCCACCTCGGCCTCCCAAAGTGCTGGGATTACAGGCTTGAGCCACCGCGCCCGGCCTGCCCGGACTTATTTTTTATCTGTTTCCCCTACTAGGACGTCAGCTCCACGAGGGCAGGGATCTCTGTCCTGTTCACTCCTCCATCCCTAGTGCCAGGACACAAAGTGGGCACTCAGTGAAGAAGTAAACAGTACATAAATAACAGGCAGGGCAGAGTGGCTCACACCAGTGCCTGATCCTCCCAGCCCTTTAGGAGGCCGAGGCTAGAGGATCGCTTGAGCCCAGGAGTTCAAGACCAGCTTGGGCAACATAACAAGACTTTGTCTCTATAAAACAAATAATAATAATAATTAAAAAATAAATTAGCTGGGCATGGTGGAGCATGCCTGTAGTCCCATCTGCTTGGGAAGATGGGGGGAGAGGATCACTTGAGCCCAGGAGTCAGAGGCTGAAGTGAGCTATGATACTGTGCCATTGCATTCCAGCCTGGGGCAATGGAGCAAGATTTTTTTTTTCTCTAAGGAAAAGAAAAAATCCCATGAGGCCAATTATTATTACCCTGTTAAGGCCCTTTTAAAAAAGCTAAGACTCAGGCTGGGCGAGGTGGCTCACACCTGTAATCCCAGCACTCTGGGAGGTTGAGGTGGGCAGATCACCTGAGATCGGGAGTTCGAGACCAGCCTGACCAACACGGAGAAAACCTGTCTCTACTAAAAATACAAAATTAGCTGAGCATGATGGTGCACGCCTGTAATCCCAGCTACTTGGGATGCTGAGGCAGAAGAATCACCTGAACCCTGGAGGTGGAGGTTGCGGTGAGCCGAGTTCGCACCATTGCACTCCAGCTTGGGCAACAAGAGCAAAACTCTGTCTCAAAAAGAAAAAAAAGCTAAGACCGGGTTAGACGTCACGCCTGTAATCCCAGCACTTTGAGAGGCTGAGATGGGCAGATCACTTGGGGTCAGCAGTTGGAGACCAGCCTGGCCAACATGGTGAAACCCGTCTCTACTAAAAATACAAAAATTAGCCGGGTGTGGTGGCTTGTGCTTGCAAACCCAGCTCGGGAGGCTGAGGCAGGAGAATCGCTTGAACCCGGGAGGTGGAGGTTGCAGTAAGCCAAGATTGCACCATTGCACTCCAGCCTGGGCCACAAGAGTGAAACTCAAAAAAAAAAAAAAAAAGAAAAAGAAAGAAAGAAAGAAAATGAAGCACAGAGTGGTACAGTCACTTTCACCAACACAGAGCTGGGGAGTGGCAGAGCTGGGGTTTGAACTCTGGGACCTGGCTCTGAGCCTGTGATCAGAATTCCTGCCACCACACCCATCAGTTTCAGTCCAATGTCCAACTTAGGGGCTGCCTCTCACGGTGAGCCCTCCCTGACCCTTCTGGCCCCCACGTCCTCACTCTTGATCTACCCCAGGCTGGTCTCTGGCTACTGGGTGGGGCAGCAAAGAGTCCCCTCCCCACCAGGGCGAGGTAAGGGCAGAAGGCCCCCAACAGCCAGGCCCAGAGCACCCTGTTGGAAGGTCCCCTACCAGCCGGGCCTGGCTCGGGGAGGGTCTTACCGCTTCATGTGGTCGCTGGCCACTCCTTGGATGTAAACAGACATTCCCACGCTGAGCCCGCCCGGGATGGGCTTGCAGTAGGGCAGCGTCTGGAGAAGAGGCCTGGTGAGGGGACTCACAAGCCATCTCCCTGTTGCAGCCTTTACCCCTCCCGGAAAAGCCCCCAGTCCCTTAAGTAGGGGAGAGGAAACCACAGGCAGGGACCAGGTTGAAAATGATGAGGGCCAACAGTTAGACCTGGACATAGACAGCCTGAGGTCAGGGTGGGAGTAAATGAAGGATCAGGGTCAGCTTTGGGTAAATGAGACCCCAGAGTCAGATGGGGCCCCTCAGGAGCAGGGTGGGGAAAATCGGCGTGGGGGTGGGTATGGATGGAGCTGCGGGTGGGGTGGGGGGTCTGAGCCAGCGTCTCACCGGGTTGTAGGTGGGCTGGTAGCCCGGTGCAGGGACAAAGGCCATCGCTTGAGGCTGGGCTGGTGGCTCGTCCTGTGAGAAGAGCTGCAGGAGTGGGAGATGGTGGCAGATGGCAGGTGGGGGGTGGCTCTTATACCCAGGGTAAGGGCGTGGCTGGTGGGGGAGGATCCACAGGGCCCCTCTTCTGGGACTCTCAGGCCCTTGGCTTCTCCTAGAGCGCACCCTTGTCTCTTTCCTCGCCGGCTTCCCTGGTGACCAGCCAGGATCCAAATCACCTGGGTCCCCTCCCCTAGGCCCCCCTGCAAACAGGAAGTGCTGATGAACTTCACCCCATCAGAGCCTTATCGGAGCCCATAAAGCCCTGCCCAGACTTTTGTTGGCAGAGGGAGGGTGAGACCAGGCAGGGCAGGGCTGCAGGAGTGACCCAGGACAGCTGGGCAGTGGAAGAGGTGGATGCGGGGAGGAACCTCAAGTATCTGCCTCTCCCAGCAACTGTGAAGGGACTTACATTGACTGCATGCCCACCGCACATCTTTACCATGTATGGTGTATTGTAGGAAGAGTGGTTTAGATTAGTAATGTCTGGAGCCAGCGGTTCTGGGTTCAAATCCTGCCTCTGCCACTTCTCAGCTGTCTGATATCGGGTCAGTGCCTTACCCTCAATTTCCCCATATGCTCATCTGTAAAATGGGGATAGTAGTAGTATCAGCTGGGTGCGGTGGCTCATGCCTGTAATCCCAGCACTTTGG